AGTAGCTGGGACTACAGGCATGAGACACTGCACCCATCCCAGATTTGGCTGTTTTTATCATTTGTTATTTCGATTCCAGTCCCATGACCTAACTAACTCTCCCTCTCACCCTTGCAAGAGTGTTTGTTTGTTTGTTTGTTTGTTTTCCAAAGCGGGGATGCTCACCCGGGGCAACGCTGACCCCCAGGAGACACTTGGCAATGCTGGAGACATTGGTGGTTGTCGCACCCAGGGTGGAGGCTGCTGCTGGCATGGAGTGGGTGGAAGCCGGGGATGCTGCTTAACGCCCTGCTGTACACGGGACACCCCCACCGCAGAGAATGATCTGGCCCCACATGTTAATGATCCTGGGGTGGAGAAACCTGTTCCTGGGAACCCCGGGACTCTTACCCAAGGAGTCCGGGCAGAGAGCGTCTAAAAGGCGGAGATATTCTCGCTGGGAAGTCAGGAGTGTGTATCCCGTCAGGGCTGTGGAGCCAAGGGGGTGACCCCCGTTTTCATATTCCTACAAAAGGCACCCAGAGAACCAACATGGGACAGGTCTGAACGGTGGCTTCTGTGTCCCAACTGTACTATCAAGGGAAGATTTCAGATGAGCTGAAAAATCCTCTGCCCCTCCCCACTCCTCCCTCCCTCTCCTTTCCTCCATTCCTCCCTCTGTCTTTTTTTTGTTTTTGAGATAGAGTCTCACTCTGCCGCCCAGGCTGGAGTGCAGTGGCATGATCTCAGCTCACTGCAACCTCCGCCTCCCGGGTTCAAGCGATTCTCCTGCCTCAGCCTCCCGAGTAGCTGGGATTACAGGCACCCATCACCACACCAGGCTAATTTTTGTATTTTAAATTGAGACGGGGTTTGGCCACATTGGCCAAGCTGGTCTTGAACTCTTGACCTCAGGTGATCCACCCCGCCTCGGCCTCCCAAAGTTTTGGGATTACAGGCATGAGCCACCGTGCCCGGCCCTAGATTTTGTATTTTTAGTAAAGACGGAGTTTCACCATGTTGGCCAGGCTGATCTTGAACTCCTGGGCTGAAGGGATCCATTCGCCTCAGCCTCCCAAAGGGCTGGTATTACAGGCATAAGCCACCAGGCCCAGCTCTCCCTCCCTTTTTTTCCCTCCTCTCTCCATCCATCCTCCCTCTGTCCCCATGACTTCCTCCCTTCCTCCCTCCTTCCCTTCCTTCCTCCTGTTCCTGCCCTCTCTCTCCCTCCTTCCCTTTCCCCTTTCCCTTTTCCCTCCCTTCCTCCCT